TAAGTGCCAGTCTTGAACACTTGTGTCAAGATACTAAGAAAAGGAGATGAATGAACGAAAGCCTTGCTCTTACTAGCACTTTTAGACATCCATCAGAGTAAGCCGATGCGAGTGAACATGAAGGAACCTATGAAGCTGGAACCGATGAAAAAGGTTGACGAGATAAGGAGATTCTCTAACAAGGAGATGAGACTCACAAAATAATCTATCGAAGCACTGCCGAAATCCAGTGAATACTGTGGACCGATCAGGAAGATACCATACAGTTACCTATCCGGAATCATAGGGATGGCATACAACCCTTTCATTAATGAAGACATACGCGATTGCTTCTTTGATTACGAGCAAGCAGTGTTGCTAAGATTCTGGAAGTCAAGAATTGCAACGATAAGAAGCGCTGCTAATCAGCAGACCAAGCTGGGTCTTGGAGGAAAAGGTGACCGCACCTTCAGTACTAAAATCTGAAAACCGAGTGGAGTTTGTCTGGGATTCTCGGACGAATTGCTGAAAACGAGTCTGATGGTGGTGTGGGAACTGATGAAAACAATCATGGTGTCCGAGTACTAACGCCGATTCGATATTGCGTGCGACACAAGACGTGCAGAGGGAACTGAATTCAGACTGTAACTTGCGTGATCTGAACATCATTTACAATTTGGTGATGACAGCCTCTAAGAGCAACGGAGAAGACAAAGTAGAGTTGCCTGGCTGTGGACCAGAGGACTGGGTCAAACCTGGTAACTGTCTGGCAGAAGTCTGTGGACTGTAAGGTCACATCTGTGGAGGTCTGGATTGCGTAAAGTCCCTGGAGAAACAACACAAGCAATTGACGATATTGTTTGGGAATGTCGTGATGAAAGCAAGAACGGAAACGGAACTGATCGCAGATTGTCATAGAGGAACCGAGGTGGATCTAGTGACTCCACTAGGTTTCTACAGCATGTTTGGTTCTCTAGAGTCACTATTGAATCTAGAACAGAAACATGAGATGGTCACTGCCATCAGTCCTAGTCCCAACGCTGACTCGATATTACGGGCGACACAAGACGTGCAGAGGGAGCTGAATGCAGACTGTAACCTGCGTGACCTGAACATCATATATAATGTGATGATAACGGCCTCTAGGAGCAACGGGGAAGACAAAGTGGAGTTGCCTGGCTGGGGGCCAGAAGACTGGGTCAAACCTGGTAGCTGTCTGGCGGAAGTCTGTGGACTGAACGGTCACGTTTGTGGAGGTCTGGATTGTGTAAAAACCCTTGAGAGACAACACAAGCAATTGACGATATTGTTTGGGAACATCGTGATGAAAACAAAAACGGAAATGAAATTGATTGCAGATTGCCATGGAGGAACCGAGGTGAATCTAGTGACTGCACTAGGACTCTACAGCATGTTTGGTTCTTTAGAGTCACCATTGAATCTAGAACAAAAGCATGAGATGGTCACGATCATCAGTGTAGCAGTGTTTCCGGGAGTTTTTCAAACCGAGCAGAAATATATTGGAATGTGGAGAGAAGCGATCGAGGCGTAAAAGAACATCGGGCACAGTAAAAACTATCGTAGACCGACGGGAGCGAGATATTTAGTGGGATCAACGTTAGCTCTAATGTGCAAGAGCAGATACCCAGTGCATTTTGTAGCGGTGGATGTGAAAAGTACGAGGATGTTCGTAGATCAAGCCTTCTCAGTGCCAAAATGCGTAAGACTAGCGAGAACCTCAGAAAAATCTTGCGAGTTACTGTGCAAAATGTTCTCAGCAGTTCCAGAGAGAACCAAATAGGAATTAGAATCGATACTGGGAAAGAATTTCATGGGATACGCCAGTGGAAAGTTCAGTGACTTTGAAAGACAAAAGCAGAAAGGGTCAACAGTCACGGATTACAATGCAGTAGATGTGAATGACGAAGTTCACCGAGTGATGATGGAAGTGGAACCACTACTGGAAGCGTCGGGAAAGCGTAATTGGAGGAGCATCATGTCGACACATGATGAGTTCCCCCGCCATTGCTTGCTACAAACATGGTGATACCCCGGGCGTTGTAATCTGTTGTTGATCTAGGACTGTGGAGAGCTGCTCTCCATGGGTTTACCAGATTCATCACAGCCCATAACGATAGTGATAGTGGGAGTTATGATGGCGATACGATGGCTGAAAGCTCATGTAAGAGAGAACAATAGACAAGAAACGCCAACGAAAAAACAATTGCAGGAATTGGATTGTCTAATAGATTAAGATCTTTTTGAAACAACGTGCAAAATCTTGAAAATTCCGATGGAAGTGAAAAAGATATGGGCTAGAAGACGCCTGATGTCATGGTTCAGTGCCAAAATGACTGCATGGTTGTACGAGTATGCCAAGAAGCATATAACTAAGCACAGCAGAGTGTACAGTGCGTATCAGCTGGACATTGGAGTAGGAGCTTTCAAGCGAGCTTTTATAACTCATCGGAATGCAGTAGCCACCGCAGTGAAGAGAATTTCTAGGATAAGTGAAAGTGACTGAAGAGAAAAAGAAGAGATATTGAAGGAAGACTTGGAGAGAAACGTGACGTTGTGCCTCCACAACAGCTTCTGCCGAAACAGAGAGACTAATGTTGATCCTCTACCTTGTTGCAAACAAAGAGTAGAAGAGCAGAAGTGCTGGAGGACTGCCTCCAACAGCGTCAGAATAGCTACCGACGTGTTGCAAGACACTGAGACTGAAAGTGCGGAGTCAATGTCGCAGGAGGAGGAGGAGACGAAGCATTGACAAATGGCCAAAGAACAAGATGCAAAAAGAAGAAAAATTAGAAGAATTTAGAAGTTTTAGAACTTCTAAACGACAAAAACAAAAAGCAAACAAAGAAAGAAACAAAGAGGCAACAAAAATGAAGATGTTAAAACTCAGAATTATTTTGCGTGTGAGAAAAATTCAAATGAGAAACAAAGCAACTAAGTTTGCAATTGAAACTAAAGAGAAAACATTTAGTTGAGTTTTGAAGATTAAAAAATTTGTTGCATTCATAAATTTGCATTATGAGTTTAGTTAGTGGCTTTAGAGACACTTACTATTTATTTAGAGAGGCTTGAGTGGATTGTATATTCCAGCCTGCATGGTTGTTTTTAATCAACTAAGACTCGAAAGTGCAGATTAATGAAAGGATTTGGAAAGCTATAATAGTGTAGTATAATGCCATTTGTATTTTCCAGTGAGTCGAAATGACATGAATAAAAGTGATTTCTTGCATTTTGTAAATTATGTTCGATGGCAGTGTACCATTTTGATGAAGACCGCAGAACTCAATGAGGACATTGACCGGGCTGTCCGAGGAGTATGTGACGTTCGAACAGATTGGGCAAAACGCAATTTCTTATTCGAATTTTTATCGGAATATCAGACCGAGAAGATTGATGGTTTAATCAATAAGAGGTCTTACTTGTGCATTCTGACGAACTCGGTAGGGTCAATTTGAAATTCCATGAAAATTTTTAAAAACGACACGTAACCTTTTATTTTTTGCACCAACTGAAACTGCGAAATCAGAACAACAAGTTTTCTCAGAGAGAACAACAGTAGTCTCAGTGAAACAACAACGGAAAAACGACAGCATATTGAGATTGTGTTTAGAAATTGTCAGAAATCATTCCGAGTTGTAACGATTGTGCCGCTACAATCGTTACAAGGAAATTCACGAGAACTGGTATGGGTGTTGGGACGACGTGTCCAGCCTTCCGCGAAGAAATAAGAGCGTTATTTCTCCGGATTCCAGAATCCGGAAGGGTCTCGGGATTGGAACTTGAACTGTCTTATACAAACTTTTAGCTTCCTGGAAATGTCCTGAATTGAATTTAAACATCCAATCTCGTTTTCAGATTATGAGAAGCTAGGAGTTGAGGGAAAGGGTTGATTCATCTTCGATAGAGATGATTATTTTTATCTACTGAACAAAAACAATAGTAATATAAGAAATTTTTGCTAAAAAGTAAATTTCAAACGTTTTCGCAACTATGTGCATCGTCAGGATTTTTACAATCCTGTGTTGTAAAATCCAGGATTGTAAAAAGTAGTAGCCCTTTTTTTAGGAGTGACCTCGTGGTCTGGGGATACTGAGACCCTGCCGTGAGCTCACTATTTTTGCATGTAATTCAGTTAATCAGAGCGTTCTGATTGAAGCCGGAAACAGTAACGTTTTTGTGGACCCGATGTTAGAAAGACCACCAAAAGAACTGGCTTTGGCAGAGACGGTGAAAAGCATGTAGAGCTGTGTTTAGACGCTAGCCAGTCGTTTTAGAACCTAGCTTTTTTTCATCGATATGCACTTCCGGGCGAATGTTATATATAGTTTTGATGACGAATAAGGCAACCCAATTAGGTTTGTTAAACCGCAAAATAAACAGAAGTGAGCAAATTTTGTGATGTAAACAATGAAATAATTACAATTTTCAATATGAAAAGTTTCTGACTGAACACATTTTGCAAGATTTTGAAATGAATATTTGATGCACAAATTAGTTTTCAAAATTATAACATGCGAAATGCTTGCGGGGCCTGTCTATCATAGTTGCCTTTTCAAGGGACCACTCTATCATAGTAGTAACTTTTTGCACATTAACCAGCTATCCATTTTTCTTGAAAAAAAATATAAAACGTTAGGTTTTCTTTACCTAGATTCACGCGAACAACTTCAAGTAGATTGTAAGTGGTTTAGCGGGACGACCATTCTTAACGAGGTTTTTGATTGGGACTCATCAAAATTGGTGGGACCATTCTTCTAAACGAGTTCCCCGACTGCTAGTGGGTCACCACATGTTGTTCGTGTCGATAATAAAATCTTTTATTAACTGAGTATTCAGTGGCTTTGAGAAGGAACTTTGTCGAATATCAATTTTGATCGTTCTCCAATTACCTTACCGTAGATCAGTTGTTGGCCGCTCTACAATTTTCCCGTTTCTATCCTTGATTATTGTCGCAGGGTATGATAACATTCGACAGCATGACTTAACATGTCTTTTTCAGAGAACATGTTGATATGCCAAATTCTTTACCGTAATATTGCCAAATTTGGGTCTTCGTGCAACTCGTGTTGCTGCAGCCGAACAAGCCGATTCTGCAAGCGTCTTCTTTCCAGTCAACCAAAACCAGAGCCGTGGACACATTTTGACAGCAAATATGCAAAAGAACCTAGCAAGGATTCGGATAAGAAAAGTCTTGTTAAAATCTGGGGTGGTGTAGTTGCTTTCGCCGCGGCTGCTGGTTTAGTTTTATATTTTTTCGATCAGAGTAAGAAGAGAGTGGAGAAAAAAAGTGTTCTGCGTAAAAATCTTTCGATTGGTAAGCCAGCAATTGGAGGCCCCTTTCAGCTTAGAACTCTAAACAATCAAATTGTTTGCCGCGAGGACTTCAAAGGAAAATGGGCATTAGTTTATTTTGGTTTCACGAATTGCCCTGATATATGCCCTGAAGAGCTGGAAAAAATGAGCACTGTTCACGAGGAATTGAAAAAACTTGGATATTCTTCTATCCCTGTTTTTGTTTCAGTTGACCCCGAAAGAGACACACCTGAAAAGATAGCCAAGTATCTCAAAGAATTCCATACCGATTTTGTTGGACTTACTGGAACATTAGACGAAGTTACGAAAGTTGTAAAAACTTTCAAAGTCTACTTCAACAAGGGCCCAAAAGATGAGGATGGGGATTACATAGTGGATCATAGTATTATTTGTTATCTCCTTAACCCGTCCGGAGAATTTGTGGAATATTTCGGACAGAATAAAACAGCTGTTGAAATGTTAACTGTAATCAAGCAGCACATTTCTTTTGGCAGTCAATGACATCAAATAATCTTGTATAAATTTTTCTTTAATAATTAACATTTGGTTTTGAATAAACAAATTACTCAATTTGCGAACCTATGGAACAGATTTCTACGGCCTTTTTTTAAAGTGGAGTTGCAGTGGAAAAAAGTTCCTGTGAAATGAAAACAGGTATAATCAAAATGTATAGGATTGGGTTTTTTCATTTTTAAAAATTTTTTTGGAGACGTTTTGGAAAAAATTTTCACTTTTTTCAAAAAATTTTACCGATTTTCAAAAAAAAGTACCAATGGGAAGTCCGCCCTCTCCCCTGTGTGTCTGCATATTCCCCTAATCTCTTTTTACCTTACTCGACTTTCTGCAGCCTTCGAAAAAGTGTGGGGAGAATTTTTGATCCATATTTTAAGATATTCTCAATAATTACCGTCCAAAATCTGAGATTTTGGTTTCAATGGATAGAACAGGTTGTGGGAAGCTCCCCTGCATTAGCGGCTACGCCCAAGTTTTTTTAACACAAAAGTTATGGCCCTTCAAAAGTCAATTTTTCGACCATTTTCTGAAACTTTTTGATTTTTTCGAAAACTACCCTCCCAAATCTGAAAATTTAGTTTCAAAATAAAGAAGGCTTATGGGGAGCTATTCTGCATAAGCGGTTGCACCCAAATTTTTTCAAACAAATAGTTATGACCCTCAGAAAAGTCAATTTTGCTATTTTTTTGACCGTTGTGTGAAGCTTTTTAACTTCGAAAACTACCCTCCCAAATCTGAGGTTTTGGTTTTAATGAGTAGAACGGATTGTGTGCAGCTCCGCTGCATAAGCTGTTACGACTTAACTGTTTTTACACAAGAAGTTATGACCCACAGAAAAGTCAATTTTTCTATTTTTTTTACTTCAATTTTTTTTCGAAAACTACCCACCCAAAGCTAATGAGCAAGGTTTTATGCGGCTCAGCCCAGATGTTTTTCCACAAAAAGTAATGGCCCTCGGAAAAAATGGTTTTATTTTTTGAAAATTCTTGGTTTTCTCGAAGGTTATCCGGCTAAATCGAACTCAAAAAAAATTAACTCCTAGTTATTTTTATAAGAGGAGAACCAACTAAGGTTTTGGGTGAAGCCCAGTTTTGAAGTAACCCTTGTCCTTTCGCATCAGTAAAAAAAATACAAAAATTATCAACCAGGTATTTCCAGTATTTGAGGCCAACTCTTTAAATTATTTTTTTTGACGCAGAGCTCAAAACTCAAGTTCCTATATATAAACGATAAGAGAGAAAGTTCTCATTTTACGAAAACGAAACGATGCGTTTATCATAAGCAATTGTTTTTGTCGATAGTTGCAGTGCGGGGTTTTTATCATCATACGAAAAATCGAGTCACGTTGAATGTATTCTTTCTTGCGGGAAAGTCACTTTTTGCCGATGTATGCGAAGTGAGACAACCTCTGCATTACTTGCAAAATCAAGTTACTTGCATGCTGCAAAGGCTCTTTCTCGCGGTCAGTTCTCAGAATATTTTATTTACCCTGGCAAAATTTAATGGTATTCAATCGTCCGCCTCGATTTTCATGTTTTTAACTTCAGCTGAGTCAGTTTCTTTCCGCAGTTATTGGCGATTTCAAAATCCATTTGCTGTATTCTTTCTCTACAGCGCATTCATTTTTGCTTGATAATTGTTAAAATAAACGTTTTTGCAGGTAAAAAAAGGATAAGAGGTTGCTGTGAAAGTAGCACAGAACGATCCAACAATGATTTAAGCAAAGAAGCAACGGACAAAAATTTAAGAATACTAAATTTTACAAGAATTTTTTCGTTTTTCTACGTATTTCCTCTTTTTTGTTCAGTGGAGGGTGAAGCAAATAAATAAGATTTTGCTAAGTGCGATATAAAATGATTAGATTATTGTATAAAAAGCAGTATAATTATGTTGTGAGTTCAGTCTCTCATAGTTTTGTTGTTGTTGTTGCTCTAGGCTAGTCGAAGATTTCGGGAAGGCTTTCGACCACTTTGTCGGGGTTAGTCCAGAGGTCTTCTACGGTACAGTTTATGACGTTCTTGGGGCAGTTGAATAAAAGGAAAGTGTTTTCGATGTGTATGTTGCATTTCGGGCAGAGATTTTGATGTTCGCTGGGATGGAGTCTATTTCTGGTTTCTGAGAGCTTCCAGCTGAAGCCAGATCTGAGCTGGCTGAGGACTCAGCGTTGGCTTCGAGTGAGTTCTTCTTCTTTTGGACTGATATCGGAGGGAGGTCTGCCGAGAACTCCGTTGTGAGCGGTTCTGGCGGTTTCGTTACGTACGGCGTCGGTATGCAAGGCTTTCAGTGTGTCTTTGAAATGTTCTTTCAGTTTCCTTTCTCAGTGTCTTCGACTCTGGCCTGGAGCGTCTGCTTGATCTATCTGTGGCTCCCGCTCGGTCGATGTTGCCAGATCCGGTGACACGGATGTGAAGGGTCGTAGCAGAGAGCATAGTACTGACTGTTTAGCAGATGTTTAGCTTGCATTCGTTGTGCAGATGTTCGACACTGGAAAGAGGATTGAGCCTGTAGCTGCGCGGAGAGCGTGTTCTGAACTACGTGTAGCTTCTTTCCGATTAGTTGGTTCGAACAGTGAGCTCCATGCGGGGGCCACATAATCCATACAGGACCGGCCTACTGCCAGGTACGTGAGACGAAGCGTTTCCCGTCCTGTCCCCAGTCTGTGCCGGAGACCCTGCGCAGAGTGTTGTTCCTCTTATTCACTTTCTTCTGTACGTCATTGACATGCGCATCGAACGAAAACATGGTGTCGTACCTCAGGCCGAGGATCTTGGGGTTGCGTTCTAGGCGGAGAGGTGTGTTGTAGAGAAGGACATGCGAGGCAGTCTTCGCTTGCCGAGGGTCTGCTGTGAACAGCGTAATTGTCGATTTCGCAACTGAAAGGAGGTCGTGCTCGTCGAGAAAGTCAGTGAGCGTTTTGAGATATGTACTGATCTTCTCACTGACTTCAGTAATACCAGTACTGCTACAGTAAACTGCCATGTCACAGCGTAGGTGATGAGAGTGATGCAACTCGGTGGAAGCGGGATTTTGCTCATGATGATGCTGAAGAACACTGGCGAGATGCATGAGCCTTGTGGGACTCCTGTGTGCACGATCTTCGAGTTCGACAGAGCATCTCTGAAGTTGGTCTTGGCAGTGCGGCCTTCAGATATCCGTCCAGCCAGCGGATAGCGCAGTTGTTAATATTGGTATGTAGGAGGTAGCTGACAAGTTTATCAATATTAACTCTGTCGAATGCTTGGCTGAGATCAATGGCTGCCCACACGGTGAGGTCAGGAGGTCTTCTCTTATTCATGCCTTTCGTGATGTCGTGGGTGATCAGACTGAGAGCTGAGGTGGTGGAATGTCTTGAGCGAAACCCGTGTTGGTGGGCCGCAAGAGGAACCTGATCGAGGTGTTTCAGCATCAACTTCTCGGTCATTTTAGCGGCAGGAGAGATGAGTGACACGGGACGGTAGCTCTTGCTTTCACCTGGTTTTTTTCCTGTCTTCAGGAGGGGTATGATTATGGAAGATTTCCAAATTGCAGGAATGCGGGAATGCTTGATGAGTGCCGCAAAGTATGAGAGAGCGTTGGGTCCCAGTTTCTTCAGAAACTGAATGCATAGGCCGTCTGGGCCGAATGCTCTAGAGTTGCTGCAGGTCTTGATGACCTTCTTGATGCAGTGAGTGGAGTAGTAGAGATTCTCTGGTGCCAGATTAAGAAGCTTCCTGTTGAGCACTCTGGTGTACTTATCGGTTTTGTGCCGAGTGATGGTGGTGTATTACTTGTTGAAAGCTGAGGCGAGCGCTTTCGCTTTGTGGATCGCTCGGTTCTTGAATTTGATGGCAACATTGGGCGGTGTGTTCACTGCTCTGCCATCTAAGCGCTTGATTGTCTTCCAAATCAGAGTATTGGGCGTGGTTCTGTCGAGAGACGTTGCAAACTCTCTCCATCGACTACGCTTCTCGTTCAGAATGCGCTGCTCGATGTTGCGGTTCAGATCGGCGATTATTCGCTGGTCTTCGGCAGTGCGATGAGCGCTGTGACTTCCCTGTTCATCCCCGGGACCGCCTTGGGTCTTCTTCCTGCCGGAATGCTGCGCTTAGCCGCTGTGAGGACGGCTTTCCTGAAGAGCTTCTCGTCTTTGCAGGTGTCAGTCACTGTCGGAAGACTCGTAACAAGCGATTCGAGCTCCGAGGTGTACTGACTCCAGGTGGCTTTCCTGAGGTTCATAATATGTTTCTTGGTGCTTCTCTGAGGGACCAGGTGTGCGCTATACTCAAACACTATAGGCAGGTGGTCAGAGCTCAAGGAGGGGACAAATCTCCACCTGCTGATTGCTGGAGCAATCAGTTGTCGCTAGAGACACGTCTCGAGAGGACTGTGGCCCTCCTGGAGGAGCACGAGTTGGGCCGTACGTGTTGAGACTCACGAAGCGACTTCCATTGAGTTCTTCGACGAATGAGCTGCCTCTGCTGTCGATGTCGCAAGTCGAGAACCAATCGGTGTGGTGCGCGTTGAAGTCTCCTAGGGCCACACATTTGCTGTTTTCTTCAAGGATTCTCGCGAAATCTGGCGTGTATCATTTGGTGCAGCTGCTGACTGGAGGGATGTATATGTTCTTTACGTCCAAGTGGTCGTTCTCCAAGTAAACTTTGACGTTGAGAACTTCAGCTTGTTGGTCATCCGGGCTCGTATCAAGTTCCAGGTAGTTCAGAATTCTTCACTACGGTTATGAGACCGCCACCTGCTCTGGTTTGCCTGGACTTGCTGATCACTGTGTATCCTGGTGCGGAAAACTTCTCCGGGTTGGTGATCTTCGATTCCTGGATGACTGCTACGTGAATCTTCTGTCTATCGAGAAGGTTGACCAGCTGGTTTCACTTGTTCCCGATGCCGTTACAGTTCCATTGCAAGATCTTCAGTTTCTTCGGCGCGGAGGTTGAGGCATTGTCCACTCTTCTTCGGTGAGCTGGGCAGGCCCAGCTGCTGGAGTAGCTCAGGTGAGTGACGGTGCCAGCACACCGTTCGTGCACCTATTTCCTGCTCGTGTTGCATCTGAAGCTGTACTCGGTTTTGCTGTATTTCACGGGCTCTTTGCAAACGCAGCAGGGGAAAGCGGGACCAGGGTTCGGGTTGATGTCCCCAGAGATCATCAGAAGGAGTGCCGTCCAATCTTCACGGACCCTACCAGACGGCATGGGTAGGCCCGTCTCGAAAACCCGACTTACATAGAGAGATGCGATAGAATCGCTCGCAACAGTTTGCAACTCTTTGCAGATTTGGCAGGGCCACCACTCTCAGGCTGTTGCATCGGCCCCCTCCAATAGTCTTATAAATTTTGTCCAGAAAAATTTGTCTGAATTTTTCCGTGTTTCAGTCAGACTTAACGACACAAAATTTATAAGACTCTCTTTTATAAGACTCAAAGTTTTGTGTCGTTTAGTCTATCTGAAACACGGAAAACTTCAGACAAATTTTTCTTGACACTGCGATTTTTAGGGTTGTTTTGGAATTCTAATCACGACCAATAGGGCTTGAATATGATACCACTTTTGCCTCCTATAATTTCTTCTTGAGTTGCTGTATTAACGCGCTCGAAAAAGCATTTAGTTCGGTTTTGAAATTTTTTATGCTTTTAACCAAATAAGCTTAATCAAATTGGAGAATCGAATTCTTTTTCAGGTGATCATATAGTTTAAAAAATTCAATCGGGGGCAGCGTTTAGCAGATCTATTCGGATGAAATAGACTTTTCAATAGCTTGATTGATTTTTTCAATTTTTTTCTACTCCATTTTTTTGCTTTAAGTTTTCACAGTTTAATTGGTTCAATTATTTAATTATTTTTGGACTAAATGGTCGTCAGCTTAGTAGCCGCTTGATGAAATTTGTTTTTCCTTATAGTTTGTTACTGGTTATTGTGTCTCTTTTTCTTTAAATTAACAATGTGCGAGAAGTCAAAAATGTATTCGGTGTTTTGTACTTTTGTGATAACCAAGCTTGTTGCAACCGGGTATTAGACATTTTTCTGGAAATAACTTTGTTCACAGGATGATTGGAATTGGTGGTCATCTCTGTCTGTAAATTCGTGAATGAACGAATAAGTTTTGAGCTATCTGCCTTATAAACTTCCATTCTGTTCAAAACGTGTTGTATGTTGGTGGTAATTTTACTAACTCCAATTTCAGTGTGTCCGTTTTTATATAAAAAAATGCTCTTGTTTTGGCTTAAAAGGTTTTAGCCCAATATCTATTGTTTAACTTGTCTAAATTTGAGTCGTTTGATAAGCCAAATTGTTTTGATTTATTTGTTTTAAGGGGGTACTTCAAAAAGGTTGCTTTCATGAAATTATTTTTGTCAGCTGAACTTGTCTGCTGAGAATTTTCGGTTGTTCTTACCGATTTTTTAAAAAAATATATGATGCTTATTACACTTGTGAGAGCTAGTATCTTGTAACCGGGAACTAGACTGTTTTTTTTTTTCATCGTTAAAAACGTTTCTTGCGAATTTGTAAGAAATTGATGTTGCTTTATTTTTGATTCTTAGCATTTTTCAGGCCCCTTCTTGCTTGATCTGGAGGATGTGCGGTTGCTTTGCCCACTATGGTCTGGGGTTCGAGTCCCGGCCGGCCTTTATTGTTAGTAAGTGTCTGAAATCTAATTTTTACGGGAAAAGTTGAATAGTCGGACTAAATTTGTCCGCGTATGTTTTGTCGGCTAAGTTGCCACATCGAGGACAGATTTTGTTGCACTTTAAGCATTTTTCTTTGTTGTCTCAAGTGTCAATGATCAACTCCTGTTGTTTGTTAATTTGCCAATCCTGAGTGTTTTTTTTCCAATTTTTTTGAATTTTTTTCCTTTCAAGTTTTGTGCGGCGTAAATGATTTCGGCTCATGTTTCGTCAATTTAATGATGTTATTTTGCATCGGTTTAAGGATAAAAATTGATATTCTGTTTCTAAATTGAATTGTGGCAACATAAATGGTACAAATATATGCACTTTAATGCAACAACAATCAATCGGAACTTTCAGGGCTTTTCCTGGTACAAGCAGTAATGATATATTTGAAGATGATTAAGAAAAAAAACGAATCAAGAAATATCCTTTGAAAAAAAATGAAAAAAATATCCTGAATTAAATGCAGCATTCCGTTAAAATTTATGATACAATATGGAACTAAATGTAGCTTATAAATCTAGCTGGACTTGGAAACGTGATTGTTTAGACGCATTTATACCTTCGTTACTAACTATAACTTTCAGTTTCTCATGTCCGCCCTTGAAATCCCGAAACAAGTGATTCCATTCAATAACAATAGCAGTAATGTCACAACAACCAAAGGTATCGCCAGAGCTCTCACCAACAGCACATCACCTCAGTCAGACTGCGAGAACCGACCAATTCTGAACCCCAGCGCGCTTAAGTCAGGTCACGTGAGCTCCGCGGTGTCGCCGGGAGCCCACTTCAAACAGAGCACCCTGATGTTTAATAACAACAAGAAGTCTCCACATGCGGGAGCGTTGAAGGGAGCCGACCCAAAGAGCTTCCCGGACATCGCCAGTTCCTCCTCGGACTCCTCGCCCTACTCATCAGACGACGAAGTGCTTCTGGTTACCAACAGCAAAAAAGAAGAACCACTAAGTAAGTTTATTGATCAAATGGGAAAACAGGGCGATTAGTCGAAGCAGCGGCCTGTATTGAAAAAAAAAAAACAATTCGGGGCATCAGAAAAAGTCACAATTGGTGATGGTTTTAATCACTTTTCGACTAATGGCATATTTTAAATGCAGTGAATTGTTATTCTCAAATGATTTTGTCTCGCCTGGTTCTGTGCTACGCTATTGGCGTGTATTCGGACCTTTAATTGTTTTAGTTTAAGAAGAAATTAATCACTAGAATAGAAAGCAGCCCAATTTAGCATTGCGTAGATCGAATGTGTCAGATTGAAATTGTATTATTTTTTGTTTCAGAACCAGCAAAAGTGGTGAACCAGGCATCTGTCGTTAAACCGAAGACAATATCAAACCAGTTAGCCGCAGAAAAAGATCTGAGCCCGAGAAAGAAACAAAAGTCAGTCTCTTCGCCGGTATCGAACGGAAAAGTAAACGGATTTTCAACAGAAGACCAGAAAGTAAATTCCGAAACAAAGCAGAGTAAGAAAAACAAGAAACAGAATCATGAACAGCGGGCGGCCTCAACCGAAAAGAGCAAAAGTGCTGAAAAACCCAAAAGCACTGAAAAAACCAAAAGCACTGAAAAAGTCAAAAGTACGGAAAAAGTCAAAAGTACGGAAAAACCGAAAGCCGTCGAAAAACCCAAAATCACAGAGAAAAAAGTCAAGAAAAGTAAAGATTCAGATAAAAACAGAAAGATAGAGTTTGTCATTAGTTCTGACGAAGACGAACCCTTGTGTAATTTGGGAAAATCAAAGCCCGAAGATGAAAAAGAATCAAATGGTTCAACTGAAAACTCCAAGCCGAAGAAAAGTAAGCCGAAAAAACAATCAGCCGAAAAGTCTGCAGAAAAGAGCGGTGACAAAAAACCAGAAAATGGCACCAAAAATGCAGTGGCTATGTCTGTTGGTAGTGATTCAGATGACAATGAAGATGTGCCACTTTCTGTCATCAAACAGAAGTCGCCGATCAGTTTGAAAAGCGTAAAACCAAAACTACCTTTTAGCCCGGGTAAGAGTAGCAAAGCTAAAGCTGCTCAGAATTTGATGAACAAACATTTTTCAACCACGTCTGAAAAGGGAAAATTAAAAGTTGAGTACCAGCAACCCCCAATTGTGACGAAGCTTGTGAAGTTATTAGAAAATGAAAACTGGAGAGAGGACCCTGAGAAATTAAGGAAAGGACGAGCACTTATCACTCACGTCACTAAAAACTTAACAGCGTTTGAGCGCGAACGTGTACCTGCAGTAGCTAAACAACTTATTGTGGAAAAGAGAAGGGAAATGGACGAGAAAGAGCGCTGGAAAAATTTGAGCCAAGATCAAAGGGATGCCGAACTGAAGCTGAAAAGACTGGAAAAACAACGCCAAATTCAACTACAAAAATCAGAAGCTCCACCTAAGTTAGTATTGATAAAGCAAGATGATTTGCTGCATGAAAATGTTCGTCCTTTGCCAAAACCAACGCAGATTAATTTGCCCGAAGGTGTTTCAATGAAAATGTACGGTGACGTGTTGATGGTTATCGAGTTCTTGCATATTTTCAGAGGAATTTTATCTCCGGACGATAGCTATGATTTAGACTTCAATGTCAATTTTTTAGTGGAAGCGTTAACCGTTGGCGAAAATGGATTCTTGTTTTTGAGTTCGATCGTTGAAGCCCTTTTAAAGTCATTACTTCAAGATGAACTGAACGAAATGTTAGCTGATCTTGAAACTAACTTGTCACGTGTGTCCGTAACTTGTCATTCTGTTTCGGACTTGTGTCGATTGTATTTGACTCATGTTCTCAAAGACGAGGAGCGAATGCTCAATTTTACGCCCGAACCGGCTTTGGTTTCGGCAAGTGAAAAATTAAAAAGCGCCGATTTAATTGAGCTAAATGCAGAGGAAAAGCTATCTGTTGTTTTGTTTTTCTGCCATGAAGTTTTGAAAACTGAAGTTTACGAGCATTTTTTACAAGACAAACACGCCCAATTTACAGAGTGTTTTCGATGGAAAACACGAGCTAAAGAAGAGTATAGCAAGTACATGAAAGAAAAACAGGAGAAAGAAGCGGAATTGAATGCGAAAAAAGCCGAAATAATTGCCAAGGCCAGTGAACCCTCTTACGGAGAGCAGAGCACGGAAACTACGAGTACTATCATTGACACCAATTCCGAAATGGATGAGGATAAGTTTTTAACAGTAGCGGAGGAACACGCAATTTTAACGAGCAGCATGTCAAGGAGACAACAAGAAATGGAGCTTGCAAAGTTAAGGAAAGATCGGGAAGAGAGGTTTAAGAAAATCAAATTGGAACGAGAAATCGAGGAAAATAAGATATTTTGGGAAAAAGAAAAAAGTGAATCTGAATATGATAAAGTAGCGTCTTTGGTTTTTAAATTGCAGCGTCTATCGCCGATTGGCTATGACAGATATCATAACAGATACTGGATTTTGGATTGCGTGCCTGGAATTCTGGTTGAAAGGTGCTGGGCTGGAGATTACATATCCTTTGAAACCGCTTCGCCCGTAAAACCAGACCCACCTGTTGTGGATATCAAAACCGACACTGAAAGTGCGACGGCAAATGTTGAGAATGGAAATCAAGCCGAGAGTACCACCAAAGAAGATGATCCGGAAATTCAAGTGATTAACAGCGTTGTTTCCTCTGTTTTGACGGTGTCAAATTCGTCGTCTAATGTGCCGTTGAAGCATTTCACGCGTCTGGAAATACCTAACAAACTATTACCTCGAATTGGGCAAAATAATTGGGTAATTTATGACTCAGTAGAACAGATAGAAACCCTTATGAAACGTCTTCATGACTATGGCAACAGAGAAAGTGCGCTAAAAAACGAACTGAGAAAGCATATCGCAGCTTTAAATAAGCGATTGGCCGCTAAAAGCGCAAAAGATTCAGCCAAATTGGCTGCGCAGAAAAAGACGACTGTTGAAGTGAAGAAAGAGGGTAAAAGTGACGCCGTGTCTGCATCTGGAGTAGTTGTTGAGAATGGCGATGGTTTGAAATTGGAAACCGATGTTAAAGAGGAAGTCGTGGAAATTGAAGATAACGTTGATGAAGACGACGATGATGAGAAGTTCCCGATGATGCCGAAGTCCTACCTGGAACACTACTTAGGCTACTTGCAGTCTGACATGAAGGATCTGCATTTGAGATTGTTCAATGGCGGTTTGTCATGGGGAAACCCAGAAGCGATTGAAAACCAAATTGACAGTGCGAAGTCTATGGATGAAGTGGTTAGTGGTAGCAGATCTCTAATTTGATAGACTGATGGCCAATAACACAGGACGTCTCAGTCTAGAAATTTTTTCAAAATTACGATTGTTTTTTTTTTTTGATTTTCATTTTTTCAAAACTATGAAATGTTCTTTGATTTTCATGAAATTGAATTTTTGGATTTCCATTGAGAAGCTTGTGCAATGTGTTGGTTTTTTGCAACTAACTGCAAAAGCAACCCAGTTTTTTTTATAATCGAAATCGCGACCAATAGAGCTTTAATTTGATATCACTCTTTACGGTGTGCGTGCAGTAACTCGAAGTAACAGTAAATTTCTATATCAGCTAATCTAATTATGAAACAATTACGTAACCGGTTGCGTTATATTAAGTACTAACTGAGCTTAAAATAAACGAATCAAATCGAAAGATTTTTCATCTTTATTGAGTGCAAAATTTCAATTCTTTAGCTGTATGTTGTAATACTTCCTAGCAAGTCTAATGGTCGACCAATAATAAACGTTAATAATTTGAAAATGTTCTTACTTCGAAAAATACATTTCGGTTTACTGAACACCTTTTTCACAATTTCTGATTTATTGATCAGGAAATATCACTTTCGGTTTACTGATCTGGTCTGACCGTTTTCGAGTTGCTGAATCATCGGTTTACTGACCTACCACCATACTTTCCCTCATGGGAGATTTACCCAGGGTTGTCAAACCCTGGAGTATTCAAAATTGGATGAAAAATTTTTTAAAACGTCCCAAGTGTGGTTGAAACAGTAAATCAATTTTCCAATGAAGTTTATAACTTAGTTTTTTTGTGTGCTGTAGAAACAGTGTCTGATTCGCCTGTACGACTGTGTGATTCCAAAGTTCCTCACTGGAGTGTGTAAGGCGGATGGGAACCAGCTGTACGCGGCCGAGAAGCAATGGAACTTGTCCGAGTCACCCGAGAGAGCCATGGACCAACAGGGTAAGTTAAAAAAACGAACGACCAATGCTATTTAGCAGATGTAAACAAATGAGCTGAGGACTAAGAAAACACCTATATGAAGAAAACCTTTCAGTCTTTTTAAACTAGCAAGCGTAGTGTATTAGTATGACTCTACTTTTTTCCAACCTAACTCGCAAATTTAAATGCTCATTTTGTAGCTTTTTGCTATTCTGTAGCATTGCAAATTTCATAGCATCGGTTCTCTTCTTTATTTGTGGCTATTTGATCTTTAAGCGTTTGTGGATGAGAGGGAAGGTCTTGAGGCTCGAGGTCGCAGATTCGAATCTGACACATATCTAATTTTATTCGTTTTTACTAATCCGAGGCTTATTTCTACTTTTTCAACTTTACTTTAAAGAGCTGCTTTTTTTGTCATTTTCTCACTAGTGTTTGCGAAGCGCAACTTTGCCTCTGTGTTTTACTTTATAGAGCTGCTTTTTCGTCGTTTTCTCGCTAGTGTTTGCGAAGCCCAGCTTCGCCTCTGTTTATTAGTTTTTTCCCTATTGAATCTACTATAAAACCTAATTACAATATGGGAAACTAGCTGAAAAATAAGCATACTCTAAATTTGACCGACCACGGTTTACAAAAATGAACGTTTAACCCCGTGATAGTTGTATTCTAATTGAATCAACTGCAAAACATATTTGCAAAACGAGAAACCAGCTGAAAAATAAGCATAACTCTTTTTTGCCGGCCTCAATTTACAAAATTGAACGTTACTCTCTAGTAGTAGATTTATTCCAATTGAATCTACTGTCAAGCACATTTACAATAGCGGAAACCACCTGAAAAATAAGTATTACTCATATTTTCTCGACATAGATTAAAAATTGAGCTTTTAACTTATGATTTTTTTTCCAATTGAGTCTACTGCCAAAAATTTTTACAATACGGCAAACCAGCTGAAAAAAAATCCATACCCAAATTTTGTCGACCTCGATTTAGAAAATCCATCATTTAACCTCATAATGGTTTTATTCCAATTGAATCTACTGCAGAACATATTTACAACTCAAATAAATACAACTCAAATTTCCTAGATTTCAATATAAAAAGAGTCGCTAGAAAGTGTGCTTATTATAGCGTACAATTGAACAAAAGAGTTTGACCTGATTCCCGATAATGTCAATAAAAAAGATTATTTTGTACTTAGGAAAAGCATTGAGCCACTGCATTGAACTATCATCTTATATATTAAATTAAAGCAGAATTGTTGTTCAGAACATTGAAAATGGGGTGGAACTTTGTATTCGGGTGTGTTTTAGCTTTGTTTTTTGTTTTCCACGCAAATAACACGGACTGGGTTGAGTGATATCATATTAAAGCCTTTTCAGCCTTGTTTTGAATCACATTAAAACATTTGAAAAAAGTTTTCCGGTGTCGAGAAAAACCGGTTGGAAATTTTTGGTTTTTCGTCTTAATTCGACCGAACAAAGCGAGCGAATATAGCCATACCCAAATTTTGTCAACCTCGATTTAGAAAATCCATCATTGACCTCATTATAGACGTATTCAAATTGAATCTACTGCAGATCATATTTACAATACGAGGAAACTTTGCTCGTATTGTTATTTTAATGGCTTGAAACCTTACAATATTGATTTTTTTTGTGTCGTTTTTCTACAAAATTTCTTTTTCAATTAGCTTATTTTACTATGAATGTTCAATATGCCTAATCTCATGTTTTTCGTTTAGCTCCTTTTTATCACACCACCCCCCGAAAAAAACGACACTAACTTGAAAAAACTTTTTGGTTGTATTTTAAGACTGGTCGGAACAATCTGTGATACTTAAAATTGGCTTCTGTTTTTTGTCTCAAGTTTACAGACTTGTTTGCTCTATTCAATACCTAGCCGGTGCAATACCTAGCTTGTGCATGCCTAGTTGGTGCATTTCTTCTATGTTTACACTTGCGAGCAAGTCTATTGCTACCAGGTATTCTAATTTTTTTCTCGTGATAAAGTTTGTTCGCAGGAGTCATCTCCTCCAGGCTTCCTTTAGAAATTAATTGTAACAGTCATATTCTCTGCATGTCTGTATTTTTAATTTCCGTTCTTCTGGCAATTTGTGATTATGTTTAGGCTTCTAAACCAACTCATTTTTTTAAGTTTCCTTTTTTTTCGCTTGAAGTATTTATTCGGCTGAAGTTATATCGGTTTTGTCGCCACGCATAGCATCCTTTGAAGTGCGATATTGTTTTTTGTTTTATGTGTTCTGTTGGGTATCTGAAGCTTGTAAATTCGAATTTATAAGTTTTTTGGAGCTGAAAACTTATTAGGAGAAAGATTTCTAGCTGAAAACTTATTGGGACAAAGATATTTAGCTGAAAACTTTATTAGGACAAAGATTTTTAGCTGAATACTTCATTAGGACAAAGATTTTTAGCTGAAAACTTTTGGGACAAAGATATTTAGCTGAAAACTTTATTAAGTCAAAGATTTTTAGCTGAAAACTTTATTAGGACAAAGATTTTTAGCTGAAAACTTTTGGGACAAAGATGTTTTTTTTTCTATTTCAACGGAAATCTCTATTTTTTTAAGCTTAGATACAGTTTCATAAATTTTGTTACAATGTAGTTCAACACGGACTATTGTCGATGAATTTTTGGGTAAATTGAGACAAACTTATGAAAGTTTCCGTAGATCTGTTTTTTGTTTGTCAGCTTAGTGAAATTCGTTTGGTTTTTGTGGGCTAGCTTGCCTTGCTATATCTGTGTTAAGTCGCAAGTGGCGAGGAGGTCCTTTAGCTTCTGAGTAATGAACGTTAGCGGCTAATTTCAAACTGTGGAATGGTACAAGTATAAAGAAAACAAACCGAGGAAATAAACATGAGTTTTTAATGGCCATTTTGACCTTGAACTATGTTTCAGAAGACTTACTGCAGACGGCGTTTGAGCTGTGGCGTGAAAGGCAATTCCAGAAGAAGCTGCCGGAGGGTGCGCGGAAGTGGCACAATGACGTCATCCAGTCACCCACCTGGTCCAGACTCCACGTGCTCCTCGGAATATTCGACACCTGTGTTAGATGGGATAAGTCTGTCGCCAAATCGGTAAGTGCGAATTAATGAATGGTTCTGGTTTAAAGAAACCTGAGCTGAGTGTACAATTGAATCAACGTTCTCATAATGATTTTTTCAACTTGCAATTCGATCAGGGTTTGTAAAGAAATTTATCATAAAATTTTGTTGTTTCGATCGCGCCACCGAAATTGATCGCATGGAACTCTGGATGGTTAGTTTTTTTTCTCAACTCAATTTTGACTATCTTTTTGACTATCTCAAAGAAAACGCGTAGTAGCATCATCTAAAAGCACTTAAGGCCGTAGTTCGGATTCCAAAAAAATGTTGAAAATGTTTTCTCAGTTTCGAGAAAAACTGGTCTGAATACTTTCGCTTTTAGGACTAAGCTAAGTTTTCGTACTACTAGTGTCATTTTAACTATTATGATATCTCTTCTCATTCTTGCAGTTTTGCATTTAATTCTGTCGTCCTTTGCAAAAAATAACCGGAAATTTGGAGAAAAATAATCAAATTTTTTTCCCATTATTTTGAATTAAAAATCACTATGGTCGGAACATTCTGGGCTATGTCTACTTCAACCGGCTATTATTGTTCCGAATTTAAAATAAAACGGAATATTTATGCTCGGTGTGGTTTTTTTTATTCAGTCAGTTTTCGCCGATCGAAATAATAGTTTTCAACTAAATTCTTTTATACACCATTGAAGATATTGACTTCCTGAATTGAAATGCATATAAAAAATATTTTACCTCCAATTATTTTTGTAAAGTTATGGGGGTTTGAAAGTTGCCAAATTGGCCATGTTCTGGACTAAATTATGCGCGCTTTGAAAAATTTATTCATAATGCTTAGAGATTAACGCGAAATATTTATGCGTGGCGAAGTTTCCCGCACAACAAAATTGTTCCAAATTGAATGGAGGCTAGCTAATTGGTCGTATTAATTTCGTACGACTCAAAATTTTACTTTAGATAATTTATATGTCAAAATTTATAGTTTTTCAATATTTTCTTTTTCAAAAACTATTCGATATGAATCAAGGGACAGTCGGAACATTCAGGGCTTTGCTCTGATATACGAGCAGTCTTGTTTTTTTTTCAGGCTGGTTACTGAAATGAAAACCTTTAAACGAGCTGTATATCTGTTTATTGTTTATAAGTAGTTTCTAATGAGAATTTTTAATAGGGCTGCACTGTGTGCAGAAAAAAGACAAACGAAGACCAAACTCTATTATGCGACGAATGCAACAGAGCGTATCACATGTACTGTCTCCGACCAGTGCTGAAAGAGATTCCACCAGGCGACTGGCTCTGTCCAGGATGCAGACCACGCGAGAAGAGGAATCCAGAACAGCCGGCGCCCAAGTATAACGAAGCTAGTGATGACGAGGAGAGGAAAAAGAAGGAGGGAGGGCCGCATGAATCGGAGGAGTGGTGCTTCTGTTGCAATGACGGGGGAGACGAACTCATTCTTTGCAGCTCATGTCCAAGGGTATTCCACCTGAACTGTCATCAGCCGCCTATGCGTAGGGTACCAAGAGGCAACTGGAACTGCATGGTATGCTTGAACCCAAAACTAACCAAAAAGCGAGGGTTCTTGCAGACAGAATCACAGAATGACGACCGAAGTTTCAATTCAGACGGTTCCTCGGAGTCGTCAAAGTCGAATTACAAAAGTAGAAAGCGAGTGAAAGTTGAAGAGTCGGAGTCTGAAGAAGACGAGGAACCCACGAGAAGGCGATCTTCCCGAAGTAATAAAGCGAACTTGTACAAATCAACGTTGACAAAGTCGCGGAAAGGAAAATTCGCCCAGAGCGATGAAAGTGGTTCGGAAGATGAAAGTAGTCGGAGATCAAGCAACCGAAGAGGCCACGACAGTGCCGAGAGCTCCGACAATGATTCGAGTATGCGCGGCAAAAGTGGGAAACGCAGTGGTGAAGGACGATCGCGAAGACGTCTCGGAAGCACCTCGAATGAAACATCGCCGGACCGGGACTCAGTTGACACGCGAAGATCAAAAAGTGGAAAACGAAAGCGAGAAATTGATTCAGAAAGTGATAAGGAGACTTCGTCCAAGAAAACTAAGAATACAGAGGAATCGGCAAGTCAGCACCCTAGAGACAACTATGAAGTTATGGAAGTAGCCGAGGAAGTAGACATCTGTGAAAAGATCTTCCTGGACATCAAATCTAGAACTCAATTCATGTTCTTTGAAAACATTGCTGAGGTTAGTGAATTTCTATAGCTTAAGTTGGCTTTTTACTTAGTTCTCAAATTTTATGAGTGTTCGAAGGTTTGTCAGAACTATTTTTTTGTGCAGGCTCGCTGGAGAACTCAGTTGGATTTATCATTAAACTAAGACGTCTTTAGTGTTACTGCGTCAATGCGAGTGAATAAAAAAGACAATGAAAGCCGACGCGTTTGTTAATTGTCAGAATCTGTATAAATAATGCCAAATTTTCGGCAATATCGATGGCCTTGAGCAACTTAATCGGTCAAAAATTACAGCTTATAGGTTAATTGATTTTTTTGGACACGGTTTTTAAGCGTAGAAATTATTGAAACGCAGAAATCGGACGTCAAAATGAACACTTTCAGGTTATTAATTTCGTTCAATTTCGTTGACCGAAAAGATGGACCACAATAGCTATCGTAAATGCCAAATTGTTGGCAATATCTTTTCGGTCAACTTTACGATAGCTATTGTGGTCCAAAATAAAGTGCGATTTGTGGATTAGGTTGATGCGTATGCTGGTGTGGAGAACAGGGTGGATTTCTCAACCATTCAGGCCACCATGGGGGAGCAGGGCTACATATGGAGGGGATTCATCAGAGACATGGCCATTGTAGTCAACAACGCACTCGCCGCTTTCGAGGTTAGCTTACTACCGCTTACTTACTCAATTCTAGCTGCCTCTGTTAAAAATATATATTTGTTTTGAGTGAGTCTCCAAATTGAGTGATTGTTCAAGTGGGTGAGTGTTTAAAATAAAAATATACTCTTTTGATGAAAAATTTATAGAAAGCGTGATGTTTGTTAGCTTTGAATAGACGAAGTCCGTTCTCCTATTTCGGGGAGCTAATTCTAGTTTAGTACCTAAGCAATTTAGTACTTAAGAGGAGGAGTTGATCTTTTGAGGAATGATTATGATATGTGATTTAAGTTTGGAACATGTTGATTTCTGGATCATAACCAAATCATTTATTCAACAAATGCCTTGTCGGTTGGTTTCAGGAGAGTCACAAAGTACACCGGGCAGCTCTGAAGATGGATGAAAGAATGCGAAATATGCTGGGTAACCTGCCAATCATGCTCAACAGGTACTCCAAGGTGAGACAGGGAACCCCGGAAGAGGAAATCGAAGAGGAGGAAAAAGAACTCCTGAAACAGCTGGAACCGAAACAAGACCCCGAAGACAAGGAAGATGAAGACGGTAACAATAACGGACGCCAAGAAGACGAGGACGAGGAAGACGACAACGATGAAGATGATGATGATGATGAGGTATAGTTATATTGGCATGCTAATTTAATGGCCGTGAAAACTCATTACTAGTTTTAGTTTGGTTTGATTGTTCACGACTGTACCTTAGCGACAGATCTGCCCCATAAGAAGTTGTGTGTTAAAGTTTCGTCACATCAGATTTAGTTTGAAATCGAAGGCGCCGAAAGATGTGGAAGGACGGATAAAATTCAGAAGACTAGCATTCAAATGAAATACGTTGGTTCCGTTTTTGGACAACGTGAACGTTTCCTTTGACGATGAAATAATATTGTGTGTACTTTAAACTACTAAATCGATTGAATTTTACCATTTATTTTTGCAAGTTTTACTTTTTACTCGGCATCAGTTTACGATTACTAATAGTTTTCCTTCAATTTAAGTGTTTTGATTTGTGCAATAACGCCGATAATCAGATGAATTTGTTTTACCCCCTATTTATTACTCGTTTTTCTGTTCAACTACGATTTTTATTGGTTTCTACACTTCTCAATTTGCTGTTTATGGGTTGATGTTGTAGTATTATTGATGCTTTTTGTTCTCATTTGAAGGTCACCTCATTTTTGACCTCTTTTTATTCGTGAAGTAAACTAAACAATGAAAGCGAAGTCTACGTGTTATTGTTCTTATTTCATGAATTAATATAATTAATTTGGATCTTTTGATACCAATTTTGAATCAATGTTCCTGCTTGATATTTGTTAATTAACGAAGTATGAACAAAGTCGTTTTTAACAGTGAAGTCTTCATTAATTGAACAAGTAAAGAGATCTTTCTTTAACGCCACTTGCAGCTTCATATATTGGTTTAAGTGTCTTCTGATAGATAAGTTTGAGGGCTTTCAAATTGTAGTTTTCCGACTAGCAATGATTTGAGCCGTTGTTCACTTGCGAAATTGAATTTTTTTTCAACTTATCTTAAATTTTTGTAAGAAATACATTTAGCTTGCAATGCTATGTTTGAAAGAGTCAATTGAATTATTGAATTGTTTAGTGAGAAAGCATACGTATACATTATTTAACTCAGAAGGATCGCACACGAGCCCTGAGGCTCATCGAGGCGAGACCCTGGACAACGAAAAACACGAGTATCAATAACTAACAATTATGAAAAAATAATTTCATGTAAATCGGAATTATCTATCAGAAAACAGTTCTTAATTGTATACCTGTATTTATTAATTTCGCTTGTCTTTAATTGTTTTAAATTGTCAGGATAAAAAGTTTGAGGATAAAAAGTTGTTACATTTTTTAATCCTCTGGTTGAACGAACTGTGCAGCCCATTTGTTCTTATTAGTAGTAAATTGAGAATTTTTGATCCGCGAGCTCTTGTTCATCTCCTTTGCGAAAATTTTTCTTCTTTTAGAAAACCGAGTGGAGATTTTTTAAGCAAATGATCAATAGTTTTTTTATGTAATCGATCAAGAAAGATTTTGAAGAGCGTTCCAATTTTGTATTCATGAATAATAGGCCTCAAGGTTTTGAACTTCCTTTGAAAAAATATAGTTCTTAATATCCGTTTTTGTCTTAATATTACTTTTTGTAGAACATTTTTTGTTGAACAGCCATTTGCTAGGAAGCCATTCGAAATAACGGGCCTGGCATAAACATTATCGATTATAAGAGTTTTTGAGAAAAAACTTTCCTTGATTGATATATTAAACCATTAAAACGAGCTAATTTTTCCTACATAGTCTAATTTTTCTCCTCCGAGAGATATTTCGCATTTTTTTTGTTTTCCGACCCAAATTAGCTGCCTGACTTTGTATTAATTTTTGTTCTATTTTTATTAGTGCAAAACAACGTTGTGTCATCCGCGAAAAGACAAGGTCATTTATGTATAGTAAAAAAAACAGCGGTCCAAGTACCGAGCCCTGTGGAACACCGTAATTTATCTGTAGCATGTTCGATTTTTTTTTACATTTGAAGATACGTATTGATAACGATCAGTTAAATACGATTGTATTAGATTGTAGCATATGCCACGAAAGCCATTGCTTTCAAACTTTTTCATCGGATAGTATGATCGATAGTGTCAAACGATTTTTGGAAATCTGTAAAACAAGCCATTCCTATGTTTTTCGAATCTTTGCCTGATCGCATAATTTCTGTTGCTGTAATGATAGCGTGAATACATGAACGATTTTTTTCCTAAACCAAATTTGAACTGATAAATAAATTGCAATAAACGATTCAAAAGCATCTTTCGGTAACTTAGCTTGTTGATGAAAACAGGCTTATTGGTCTGAAATTGGATGGGTCCTCGTGAGAACCCTTCTTATGAAACTGTAGAACTTAGGCTAATTTGAACGCATGTGGAAATTTTCCATAGATTAACATTTGATTGAACAAATCAGCTATTGGATAGCTAATTACCTCAGCTCATAATTTAATTATTTTATTTAGAGTAATAAACGTAGTGAAGACTCTTATATACGTCAGAAATCTTAAAATGTTGATGCACTTAGGTACAAAGCACTTTTTGAGATCAATTGAAATTTAGCTGCTAAAAGTGACTTAAATACGAACATGCAAATGGCCCAAAAAACGCGAACGATTTCTAGTTTCGAAAGTTGAATTTGTTTTTAAGATTTCCTTTTGGAATAAAAACTTTACTATTCATCCAGTTTTCTCAAGTTGGGTTCATGTTATCAAAAAAGCGCCAATCATAAATTGTTCTAGAAATTCAAAGAGCTTTAAGGGCGTCCATTTTTTTCATTTAATTTCGAAACTTGAGCTTTTGTCATCAAAGTCAGTGTTTACTTGCGTTCATTACTTTTTTCCAATATCCGATTGGCTATGTTTACTTATGCTATCATGACCACTAGACGATTCGTTTATAAGAGTTTTAATAAATTTCAGTACTTCATCATGATATTCGGGGTAGAAAAAAATAGAAGAGTCGTTCCGTTTAACTATAAATCATTTAATGTTCTGATTGTCATGCATGTTAGCCAGTTTTTCTCCAATGTCAACAAAAAACTGATTGAATTCATTCAAATCTAGTGGAAAAGGATTTTTTTAACTTTCTCCCAAAATTCATTAAAAGCCTATTTTTGTCATAATACGCCCTTTTGCTGTGTCCAATGAGACGAACAACTTGGGCACTTGAATTTTTATTTTGCATGAGATTATTTTCTGATGGTTTTGAAATATAACTTTTTTATAGTCTGTCTCGTTTTTTGCAAAGGCTTTAAGTCTTACAATTTACCCAGGACTTTTCTTTTTTGATGCTTTTTTTCCCAGCTGACAAAATTTATCAAAAACGTAGATAATCGAGTTAATCAATGGTTCAAAAGAGAGATTTTCTTTTTTACCAATAATATGATTGAAAAAAGAGCTTGCAATGAATGTTATCCCTCCAAAAACAATCAAAATTTCTTCGGGAAGTGATGTTATCAACTTTTTTCTCAAATGATCCAATGTCAAGGCATAGTGATCAATTATGTTACACTGAACAGTTTCCACTGTTTTAGAATTTTTTTTTAAGGTGATCAAGGCATGATGAGCTAATACTTGTTGCTCTGGTTGGTAATGGGTTTTGATCTGAAAGTCCAAAATATTAAAATAATCGAATGCTAATTTTGAATGCTGGTCAAGAATATGTACGGTAAAGTCCCCGCATAAGAGGATGCTTATCTCGGCGGCATTTAACTGAATTTATAGGTTTTCCAGCTCCTGTAGGAACAAAAATGCAGATTAAATGTTTGCCCCTTTTGTCACTCAAAGAAACGACCATATTTTTTTCCCTTTCGTTAGTGTAAGTATTTACGTGTGCGCCTTCTATCACAAATGCCGCAATACCCCCACGTTTTTTCCTTGCCTGTTGCGTCCTAAGATTTTTTTGGTAACCATCAAGGTAGTATAAATCTAAGGGTTCGTCATCATGTAACCATGTTTCACACTACTGTGGGAAATGAGTCAAAACATTCTTTTTCACATTTTAGAAGTTCATGACGGCATCTTGAAGATCGTTTTTTAAGGAACAACAAAGAACCATTTTTAGGCTCGTGTGGTAGTTTGATTCTCTCTTTTTTTTTCCATAACGAACAAAAAATTTTAAAAGTATTTAGAGCTTGCTTATCAACTTATCCCGCTTAACCCCGGTCTACGCTAACCATCAGTAATCGAATCTATATCATCAAGAAAGTCTTTTAGAAGGGTTCTATCTTACAGGAGAAACCATGTTGGTTACTTGGGTCACAAGATTGATGAGCTGATCAAGTTTGTCTTCAGTTTCATTTTTGCGTTTCCTCCCAGAAGGTTTAGGCAATTTTTCTCCTGGCACATCAGTAAAATCTATTGAAACTCCAGCCGCAATTTCTTTTAGTTCAAACCCAAACTCACATCAATTTCTTTTTTCGAGTCAACGCCAATCCCTTTAACTAAAAATTGACTTTTTTGTTGTCATGGACAGATGAGCAGCCTTGGCGTGCTCCAGAACCTCTGTCGGTTGGTGTCAGCCTTTCAACCTTATAGATAGACTTCCCAGCACTATTTCTTAATTTCTTCCAAATATCTTCATAGTACCAAATCAAATCGCGATGATGATAACTAAATTTGACAGTTATTGGTCTCCGTCCCGCACCGGGAAGAAAACGACACGCCGCGAGGTCCACGTCATTGATAGGAATACCCATTTGATTGTTAATGACCTTGAAGACAGCATCCCAAGGATCCGAAGCATCTAATCCATGAAAATTCAAACATGTTTTGGAGGAATATCGCTCTCTATCAAGCATCCTTCTAGGGCAACAATTGGGTGTCGATGAGATCTAACCTTTGACCAAATAGTGTTTTTATTTCTCCAAAATTAGAAAATTCCGAGTTCAATTTGTTGTCTTATGGCAGCGGTCATATTTTTAGAGCGAAAGTTCCAGCGAGAACAATGCAACCAGAGCACAGCTTGCATTCAATCCTAAAACTATTTAATAAGCTTATCACAACAATTAGGCTAACGTAGTGAAAACTTAATTGAGTCATGGTGATATATTGTTTCAGGA